CACAGCTTGAGCACTGCACACACACACACACACACACACAGATGTTTTCCGTGTTTGCTCTTTTATTAAATGGAATTGCTTAAAATATTTTAAATGTTTGTTACAAATATACAAACTTGCATTATGCAAACTTAGCAAATTCACTTATTCTCACAATTCATCTATGTAATCTTTTATTTTTTTATATTTTAATTTGCTCAATCATGCCATCTACAAATGCTTAAAAAATTCTTTATCATAATAAAGAAAATATCCTTTCTCTTTTGTTTTGCTAAAGGTAAATTACTTTTCTGCAACCATTGAGAAGATCATACAATTTTCTACTTTAGATTGTTTATGTGGTAAATAATATTGAGTGATTCTTGAATGTCTAATTATAATAAACCCATTATGTCATGGTTTATTTCCATTTGAATGTTGTGATGGATTTGGTTTAATAATATTTTGTTTAGAAGTTTTTCACCTGTTTTTATGAGTGAAATTCACCAATAATTATTCTTTCTTATAACGCCCTTGTCAGATGGTGTTATTAAGTTTATCCTGGCCTCATGAAACAAGTTGGGAATTGTATTGTTTATCTATGCTGCATAACAAATTCCCTGAAATCTCAGGGTCTTGAAACAACATTTGTTTTCTTATGAAGGTTCTCTCTGTCATGGGAGAACCTTCCCATGGGAGAACCCATCCCTTGACATATAAGCACCTCTATAAGGCATATTGAGTATCTGTTGTTATGACAAGGCAGTTCACTTCTCCAGGAGCAAGAGAGAAAGGAGGATATTGCAGTACTTTTTATGACTTAATGTTAGGTATCTTTCACCATCGCTTTGCCATATTCTGTTCATTAACAATGAGTCACTAAATTCAGCCCACATTTAAGGTGAGGAAATTAGTCCTCACCTTTTTTTTTTTCTTTCTTTCTTTCTTTCTTTTCTTTTTTTTTTTTTTTTTTTTTGTGTGTGTGTGACTGGTAAGGGGATCGGAACTGTTGGCTTTGTGTCGTCCGCACCACGCTCAGCCAGTGAACGCACCGGCCATCCCTATATAGGATCCAAACCTGTGGCCTCAGCGCTCCCAGTGCCGCACTCTCCCGAGTGAGCCAAGGGTTCGGCCCAGTCCTCACCTTTTGAAGATAGGAGTGTCAAAGAATTGGTAGAGATATTTTAACACTTACAAATAAATGTCCCCTACCACTTTTCTATTCTTTGGAAGAGTTTGTGTAAGACTGCTATTATTTCTTCTTTAATTTTGGAAAATTTTATAGTTTTCTTTCATTAAAAGTTTTTTTTTCCATTGGTTATGAATATTCATGGGGTACAAAGCTGATTGTCACCACTCATGCCCAAGATGTGATGGCCAGATCCATACTGGCAGCATGCCCTTTACCACAAATTGCAATTATACCTCATGTCCCCAACCTAATTATCCCAACCTCCCTCCCCATCCCCCTTTCCCCCACTCCACTTTGTATCACTATGTATGCTCTCACCCTCTGCAAATCCAGCACACCTCTGTGGTCTTTCTTTCCTTCCTTCTTTCTCTCTTAGCTCCCATTTATGAGTGAGTACATGCAGTATCTATCCCTGTGTGCTTTGCTTATTTCACTTAATATAAGTTTCTCCAGGCTCATCCATGTTGTTACAGATTGGAGAATTTCATTCTTTTTTATGGCAGAGTAGTATTCCATGGTGTATATATAACACATTTTCCTTATCCAGTCGTCCACTGATGGACATTTAGGTTGGTTCTGTATCTTGGCTATTGTAAACAGAACTGCAATGAACATGGGAGTGCAGAAATCCCTTTGACATGATGATTTCCATTCCTTTGGGTATATACCTAGAAGTGGGATTGGTGGATTGTGTGGAAGATCTATCTGTAGTTGTTTAATAATTGATTAAATATCTTTAAACTTGTAGATATTACATTACTTTTTGTGTGGGGTCTTGTAGAAGCTCATGTTTCTAGAAATCTGTTCATTTTATGTTATGTATTGACATGAAGTTTTTTATAATTTATTGACTTTAGTTTTCACCATTTCTGTAACATTACATTACTTTTTGTGTGGGGTCTTGTAGAAGCTCATGTTTCTAGAAATCTGTTCATTTTGTGTTATGTATTGACATGAAGTTTTTTATAATTTATTGACTTTAGTTTTCACCATTTCTGTAAGAATCTAGCTCTTAGTCTGACTTTCTTGGTGTGCCATTTGGCTTTCTGGGTTTTCTTTTTTTCTTTGGTGTACTACAGTTTTATTATAATGTGAATATGTGACCTTCAAAAATAGTTTACCTTTGTGGTTAGGATTTTTGGAAACACTGGTTTGATGTCTTACACAGTTCTAAGACCATCACAGCAGATACCTCTTCAAATATTGCTCCCTTCTTTGACTCCAATTAAATATACATAAGGAATTCTTAGTCTTTCATGTATTCACTACTCTCTTGTATGTATTTTCAGTATTTTTATACCTCTTGTTTATTTATGGGTATTATTTTTTTCTGACAACTTCCTAGTAGCTATTTTTTTCTTCAGCCATGTCTAACACAGAGTTAAATACAAAGACTGAGTTCATAATTTTTGTTATTATTTTTTTAATTCTAGCATTTGTAGTTGATTTCTTTTAGCTTCAAAACACTGTTTAATAGCTTCCCAACTTTGTTGATACTTTTGTGTTCAACTATTAATTCCTTAAACATAGAAAGTATAGATGAGTATCTGATAACTCCAATTCCAAGAATTCTGAAGATTTTTTTCAGTTGACTGTTGTTTTTATTGGTTTGAGTTTGTATTTTCTTGAGGACAAGCCTTGAGATATTTTATTGTATGCTGCAAAATTTATTCAATAAACCATTTTAAAAACTATTTAAAATATAAAGGTAATAGATTCATTGAAAGAGGAATTCTATCTACTTCTGCCAGGCATTTTGGGTATCATAAGTTCAGTAATGAGTCTTTGGACATTTTGTGGTCACTTCAGAGTGAAGCATCCAATGTCCTAGTCCAGAGCAAGCGTCACTATGCTAGGATCCCAGCCAAAATTACTGTGGAAAGAAAACAGTAAACACATTACCTTCAGGTTGCCTATCAGATCAACCAATTCCCAGATATGGGCATGTGTTTGTAAACCATAAATAGTAAAAAATTCAGGCCACTGAAAAGTTTTGGAACTTGGCAGTGCTAAAGAGATAAACCAGTGTTTCTGATTCAGTGCAGCAGCAGGGCCAAGACCTTAAAGCAACACATATCAAATTAATTAATGGTTAAAAAAAAATACCTCTCAAAATTTCTTTCTTTTTTTTATTGATTACGCATATTCAGGGTGCACAAAGCTGACATCACCACCTGTGTCCAAGATGTATGATCAGAACAATACTATCAGTATGCCCATCAACAGAAATTGCCATTATTCCCCAAATTTCCAAATATTTTTTAAATTATACATGTGCATGCATGTGCATGGGCACACACACACACACCTACCTGTGTGTGTATAAAGAGAGAGGGAGGCTTTTAATTGGTAATCAGCTGTGATTTTCAGAGTCTTCACCTGGTTTGGGAAATACTCTCAGGGCAAAAACAGCTGTAGCTTTGTTCCAGGAGCTTTAATGTTCCTTCCCTTGCACTCATTCTGCCACTCCTCATTACACTCCTAGGTTAGTTATGCTTCCTAAAAAATGCTTTCTGTAAACTTGTCCAGGATTTTAAATTCTATTCAGGAAGGTAATTGATCAGAATCAATCAGATCACTTTTCCATCATTACTGGAATTAGAAAGTTCTTAACGGATCCTGATCTCAATTTGTCAATTTTCTCTTCAGTTATGTCTAATAACTATGTTTAAATGAACTTATTTTTAATGTCAATACTTTTATGTGTATATAATTGAGAATACGTTTGAGATTTTTTTCTTGTTATTACTAATTAATTCAGTAAGTGCTGTTTTATAAAGAAAATGATTTTACCTAATTAAAATGTAATTATCAAATCAGAAAATGTAACAGAATTAACACAATGTATTAATAGAATTCCATTATCTAATCCACACTCCATATTCATATTTTGTCAATTTTCCCATTATGCTTTATAGCTTATTTTTCCAGGTCCAGGATCCAATCTGGATTTACACATTGTATTTAGTCATCATGACTCCTTAGTCTCTTTTAATCTAGAATCTTCTGACTTTGTCTTTCTTTCCTTTTTTTCTTATTAGATAAAATTTACATACCACTTAATCATTTAAAAATGTACCATTAGTGGCTTATCGTACATTTGCAGTTCTATAGAGACATTACCACTACCTAACCCAGGACATTTTCATCACCTCAAAAATAGAGTTCATACTCATTAAGCAGGCCTTCCCCATTTCTTCCTTCACTCCGTCTCTACCAACCACTGATCTGCTTTCTGCCTTGATAGATTTGCCCATTCTGAGCATTACCTAGGAATAGACTCATAAAATATGTGACGTTTTGTGTCGCATACACACACCTAATGCCTTCAGTTGTACTACGTATGAGTGCTTCTTTTCTTTTTGTTTCTATTTGTGGGAGAGAAGCTTTTTTTTTTCTGTCCCATTATATATTCATTTATTTTTTTATATAACTGAACTCATACAGTTTTATTTAATTCCTTATACTCGTTTATAATTGCTAGTTATTTTAATTCTCAAATTGTCCCATATTTGAACTGGTTTCTGTGTCCTTTTGGGATGTTTCTATTGCTCTTTGAAGACTTCTTTTATGTCTGAAACAAGATACTCCCAGCTCATCTTGTGATTTCTCTGAAACAGTCCCAAAGTAGCCTTTACTTAAGTAACACTGGTACATTTTAGGAGATAACTGTATTTGAAAACTATGATATCTAGAAATATATAACATCTTTGAAAGATGTAATTTATGATTTCTTGTATTGCAATTTTTGTTTGCTTTTTTTTTTTTTGGAAAATCAAATGGTAAATATAGATGAATAATTCACTTTCTTGTCCATTTCTTTTTTCAGTTCCTCCAGTCATCCGGGTGTATCCAGAGAGTCAGGCTAGAGAACCTGGGGTGACTGCCAGTCTTAGGTGCCATGCAGAGGGCATACCAAGCCCTCAGCTTGGCTGGCTGAAGAATGGAAATGATATCACTCCAAAGCTGTCCAAACAACTCACGCTCCAAGGTGCCTTGTACTTGCATTTTTTCCCATTTGTAAGGGTAATGTAGAAATTTTTTCCTAAAATTTGCATTTTACATTATTTGGAAAAAAAGAGAAAATGAGTCTTGGTGGCAACAGAATGTCATGAATATGAAAAAAATATGGTTATATCTAAGAGATTAAAATACAGTCCTTTACTATTTTTAATGTTTTAAATAATAGTCATGTCATAATGATTGATTATGTCATTATTTTGGTGATAGGTAAAACATTAAATTATGTCTCTTCTAGACACTTGTTCTGTGAATTATAGAAGATATACTGAACATAATAATTGGATCTCTTCATGGAATTATGTTTCTAAAGTTATGTTTTAAATGTTTAAGTAATAAATTCAAATAAGTATCACAGAGAGTTTCAATAATACAGAGAGTTTCAGGGAACATTTTCCATCATATTTTGTAAACGAAGAAAGAGAAATATCAAAAAGTTAATAAATATGTTTCACATTTACAGTGTATTAAAAATAAGTTATTGCACTCTAATATATAAAATAATCTACATATTCTAATATTCTAAGGTGTAGATATAACTAATCAATTATTATATAGATTAATGTTGATAATCACAAATATTTGGGCAATAACAAAACAATGCCAGACAATTTTTGTATGGCCAAACAATTTGAATAGTGTGAAAGCAGTTTCATATAATATGTTAATTATCTTAGCAGTAAAAAAAAAATGCACAAATCTTGTTTACATTGTTAGGAATAGCATACAAGTAATTTTATTGCAGTATCTGTTGCATGAGCATTATATTTTTTATTCTGTGCCTTTAAATTTCTTCAATTTATGCTGCTATAAATGAATATATTTTCATTTTTTATTTCTATAAGCATAGATTCCTATTATTCCACTTTTAATGAGTATGTTGAAACACCATGCATTCTTAAATATAGCTTTGTAGAACTTATACTTACTTATTTTTGTAAGTCAATAGTGACATGTTTGTGAAAGTATTCTTGAACTTCAAAAACTCGAATCCTAAAAATCACTATATTAATGTCAGTAGGCCTGAGAAATTTACACACTTACATCTAATAACTACAACGTGATGTCAATAATCTAAGAGAAGATTGATCTGATTAACAGAAATTAAATGAAGAAAAGACTGAATAGCTTCTGAGTTTTCATTTCTTGCCCATTTAATAGCAGTAAACCATATTATACAAGCATATTAATTTGCTTACAGGAGTATACACGGAGACCAATTTGGGGAGTTGTTATACTTAAGACTCTACATTGAAAGAGTGTGGCCCTTTGCAAAATAGTTAACGGTAATTTTAAGTACAAGAGAGAATAGGTAAACTTTTGAGGGAATGTGACAAAACAATAAAAGGAGAGTAGAAAGGACAACCTCAGAGATAAATCTGAGCATATAGGAGTACAAAATTCAACGTGGCTTTGTATATGATTAAGTATTCCCAGATACTATAGTTATTTTAATTATCCATTCACTCATCAGATGCTTCATTAGTATTTGTTTGTGAGGTCCAAGTTGAGGCACTAACTGGATAATTATGTCAAGGGATGGAATAATAGGTGAATGATAAATGAAATCCTGAAAAATACAAATATTTTATTAACAGGAAATGAAGATAAAAGGTGACTAGAAATCAGCACAGAAACAGGAGACCAGGTGATACGACAGAGGAAAACAAAAGAAAGTTAAAAATGGGGAAAGAGTTCAACAATGTCAGATATGTAGCAAAGTCAAAGAAGGTCACTGAAATGTGTTCATAGGTGAGGTGAACAGCTTGTCCTTGCAACATTTAGAAAAAAGAAGTAGCACTCAGTTTTCAGTGTGTTTAGAAATGAAAAAGAGACAAAAAGAATAAAAATCTCTATGCAGATTTTGAAAGGAAGAAAAATAGAAGATAGTAGCTGCTGGTTGAAGGATTAGGTCTAATGAAGACATTTCTTTCTTTTTGGACAATTTATCAGTCTGAGGAAAGTTTGCAACATTTAGAAAAAAGAAGTAGCACTCAGTTTTCAGTGTGTTTAGAAATGAAAAAGAGACAAAAAGAATAAAAATCTCTACGCAGATTTTGAAAGGAAGAAAAATAGAAGATAGTAGCTGCTGGTTGGAAGGATTAGGTCTAATGAAGACATTTCTTTCTTTTTGGACAATTTATCAGTCTGAGGAAAGTGTCAGTGGAGAAAAGCTGAGGGATGAAAGATGCAGAAAGAGTCATAAAAAGCAACAAGAAAGGAGGGGATATTAGGACATTTGGGGGCTACTTTTTGATCACTTCTATTTACCTCATGATTTGAAGAACAAGGTCACTTAATTAGAGAGGAAATTAGTATTGCATTTACAACAAACAAAGAGTAAAGATGTGAAATAAAAGTGGAGTAGGATATGAAAGGCATCTAACTGTAAAAGTCAGGTGAAATGAATACTAGATAGCATTGAATATACTGCAAATTGAAAACTGTGAATTTGAAAATTGGTAAACTTGCTGATGGGGTAGTCTCATAATTTACTCAAAGATCTAGGTGCAGGGACATGAGGTGCAGAGACAGGTTAGTTTATTCTAGTTCTGGAGGTTAGTAAGGCAGATTTTTCAGGCTGATAAATGAACAAAGAATTGGTAGCCCAGCAATAGAGTGGAAAACATCTAAGAATGCAAGATTATGTAGGGAAAGAGAGAAAGATAATGGGGCATTGAGGAGACAATTTGAAGAATTAATAAATTAATTTGAGGTTTCAGAAAATACAGGGAATTTAGGTTGTTAAGTGTGTGGGTCTTGAAAGAAAAGATGATCTCTGGAGGGGGCCATATTTCATGTAAAACAAGAGGTTGATGCAGGTTTAAATACATTGTTCTCTCTCTTTTAGAGGAATTTGTAAACTAAGTCCCACAGACCATATATAGATAACTGTTTTTGCAAGTACAGTGTTTTGTTTTTTTTTTTGCTTTCTTTTTGGTTTTGTGTATAGAACACAGCCACTCTCATTTTTTATAAAATATTGTGCATAGCTGCTTTAATGCTGCTGCCACAGAGGTGAGTAGTTGCCACAGAGCCTGTATGGACCCCAAACCTAAAATATTTACTATTTTGCCCTTTGTAGCAAAAAAAAAAAAAAAAAAAAAAAAGGCCTGCCACCCCCAGTTTTGTAGTAGTGATTCTCAACAAAAAATGGGAGGCCTGGGGTGTGCAGTAAAGACTGGTAGTTGAGAAAGAGGTTCAAGGAATTCAAATAATTATCCTTCCCCAAACATCCACTGCCTCTCTGTATCTTACTCACATCTCGAGAGCCACTGACTCCTAGGGATGCACTCAAACTCTTTTCTTATTGGTTTTCTACCATTCTTTT